CTGACGCTGTTGGGGAACTCCTGGCAGGTGGGAGTTGTAGCTTGGTTGATTCTGCAGCTGATGTCTCCGCTTGGTCTGTGCCGCAACTGGAGCTTGCAGACGTTGGTCGATCAATTCACACCGGGCCAGGGGCATAGTTTTTACCATGTTCTCATGAGGCCTCCTTTCCCTAGTCGGCAGCATACTCCCCCAGGAAAAGCCACAGTGGACTTGGTGCGAAGACTCATGGGCATGACTACCTCAAAAGGGGAAGATCTGTTGGTTCACGCTGGAAGTGATCCCCTACCCCGACATTGTAGACTGAGAGCCAGCATTCCGGGTCGTCTTTGGCGCTGGAAGGAAATCAGTGGATGGACCTGGAAACACCCAGGTGATCACATCAATTTGCTGGAGCTTCGGGCTATCCTGACTACTATTCGCTGGAAGATTTTGCGGGGACGGCGCCTGCGGACCCGCTTCCTACACCTTACAGATAGCCTGGTATGCTTACATGCTTTGACTCGGGGTCGGAGCTCGAGTCGAAAACTTCGGACGACCGTCCAACGACTAAATGCCTATCTACTTGCAGCTGATCTTCACCCCCTCTGGGGGTACATCCATACCTCGCAGAACCCCGCTGACCGCCCGAGTCGGCGGCCATTACGACGCAAATGGGCAAAGTAGGCAAAAGGGTTTTAGAAGGTCAGACGCGAGAGGATAGGCAAAAGGTTGGAAAAAATTCAGATCCTTGACAGTTTCCGAAAAGACAAGGAGTAGGTATGATGCAGCTACATCTAAGTTCTTCAGTTGGCTTGACAACAATGACCTTGTGCTTCCTCGCAAACGGGAACACTTGGACGGCCTCCTTGCAGAATACGTGGAGCATCTCTGGTCAGACGGCGCGGGCCGAGCTCAAGCTTGTGATACCTTGGCGGGATTACAAGACCGGGACCCTAAGATAAAGGGTCACCTTCAGTTGTCCTGGCGGCTGCTACGTACTTGGAGTACAAATGAAATCCCAAACCGTGCTCCCCCGTTACCACAGGAAGCTCTTCTGGCCATGGTAGGATGGGCCTTTTTTCATGGTCATTTCAGCTTTGGCGTGTCATTGTTGGTGGCATACTATGGAATGTTGCGAACAGGGGAGGTGCTTCACCTCAAGAACTCCCACATCTACATGGCCGGACCTAAAACTCCCGCGGTGATCTCCTTGGGTATGACCAAGGGAGGAAAACGGAGTGGCGCCGCCGAGAGTGTGACGCTGTCCTGTGGTGATGCCCTCAAGTGGTTGTGGGTCTGGAAGACCGCCAACAAGCCTCATGCAAGCCTATGTCCGACAAACGCCAAGTGGCGGCAGTTGTTCTCCACATGTCTCACTGCCCTCTCTTTAGAGCCATTCCAATTTCGTCCCTACAGTCTTCGTACTTCGGTGGCGCCGGGCACTTGTGGACTTATAAGTTACTTATGATGCTACTTAGCTAGATACGTATTTTCGTACTTAGAACCATACTTATAAGTAGACTTGTAAGTAGGTTAAGTAGAAGTATGTGTTTTTCGTGAAGATTTACGAAAAAGCGAAAAACGCGCGCGCAAGCGGTCTTTTTCACTGCAGGAGCCACACGTCTGGTCCATCTTTACGCACGAAGAGCGCTTCACGCCTCTGCAGAAGCCTAGAAACCGCCACAGTTTGATGCATAGCAGGAGTTTGGCGCAACCAGCGCGTGAAGCCCGCCGTCTGAACGCCAGCGTAGGGCCAGAACATTTGCTTCCAGCTTGTGTTGGCAGCGCTCCACTCTTGCTCCCGTGATTTCCACGGCCGTTTTGGCGTCCAAGATGTAGATCTGACCCGGAATGAAGTTTCGCCCCTCAGCAGTGAGCCCATCGGGTGACACTCAAACGTCTGTGCAGATCGCGAGCGGCCTTGGTCCAGTCTGAACTTGTGGCCACACAGGCGGCACAAGCAGTCTGCACCGCTCGCAGGTGCATCTGCGCTAGCCATCTCGGAGGGGGAACTATAGCGGGGTCGCGGTTGAGCCAATGCAAAACTGCAGTGATCTCATGTCAGAGATACCACCAAAAAACGTATCCAGAGACAGGACAACCGGAAGCAAAACTACCACAAATCAACAAAAGTTCGTGAGAGGCCGCGGACAAACAGAAAATCATATATTTTAGAGCGGCGGACATCGCGGACATCGCGGACAAGTGTTTTCTCACAGATACGCAGCGTTTCGTCGTCCGCGGACAACCGCGGACAAGGTTTCCCCCTCCGCAGGCTACAAATCCTAGGCTTCCGCGGACAACGGCGGACATCGCGCAGAGTGTCCGTTTCGGCCGCGGACAACGGCGGACAACGGCGGACAACCGCGGACAACGGCGAACAAGCCGTTTTTGTACATCTCAGAACATGCAAAGTCTGCAGCCGCCGGCGCGCAGCCGACATCACCAGCCGCGCAGTTTCCAGCCAGTCGCGCAGTTCTTCCAGACCTGCACGACGCACCAGCGGGATCAAAGACATCAGGGCATGCATCCGCAGCTGTGAACATCTCTTCCACGTGCAAGGCGGGGTTCATTGCCAAGGTCTGCCAACCACCCCGCTGGCTGCGGACTTCTTCCCCGTCCTGTGGTACACCCGGCAGCTATTTGCTGCCGCAACTGCTGTAGAGACTCGTGGTCCCACAATTTCTCATCCAGCATTGACAAGATCTTGCCTGACTGACCTGTGGTCAGATCAGTGACCGAACCCAACTGCTTCAAGAGCGCTCGCAGCTGCTTCTGCTGTGCGTCCTTGTAGCTCGGAAGGCTGCGCAAGCCTTCTAAAAATTTCTGGCCGGCAACCATTGCCTTCTCAAAAGCACCCGCCATACGCGGAAAAATAAATGGAGGTGCCTCCGACCCAACGTAACGCGCCTGTGAGCCAAAACTGCCCAGCACGTGAAAACAAAAATGTTTGCAAAATGACTCTGTTTTAGACATATGTTTAAAAACGTCTTGAAAACATACAAAAAGCTAAGTAGGTTAAGTACTATCGTAAGTAGAAACGACGTTTTCCAACTTCAACAGCATCCTACTTATAAGTAGGGCGGTAAGTAGCTATCTCCATCATAAGTAACGAAAAAATAAATTGAACTTATGAACCACTTAACCTACTTACCAGCCCACTTAACCTCCCTTAAGTACACTTACACTCTTACTTATAAGTCCACAAGTGCCCGGCGACACCGAAGTAGAGGAGGCACCGCATTCTGGTTTTCCCGGCACGGTAACCTCGATAAATTGATGATCGCCGGGCGATGGCAAGCTGTGAAAACAGCTCGAGTGTACATTAACGAGGGCTTATAGCAGTGCTTGCTGAACTCCATTTACCCAGAAACAAACTTCGTCCTTTCACCCAGGTGTTTCACTCTGGAATTAAACCTCAACACTTGAGCGCGAACAAGCGCAAAGAAAAGGGGGACGTGGAAAGGGCAGTTGGGACTCTTTTTTTTGTGCTGATTTTAAGAAGAGAAGAACATCAGCCTAAGGCTCTCGGCTAGGCGAGAGGTCTTAAAAAATGTGAGGGGTATGGTCTCTGTCCGCTTGGACGAAAGTCTATTACCGAGCCTCAGACGAGACAACCAATGAGTCAGTGAGCGACTCAAGTCAAGTCTGGGAGACGACTTGACTCACGTAGTTCTTTATTTTGACCAAACTGTGGAGCGCATCAAAACGAGAACGGTGTGAGTTTTTAGGAAACGTCTCGTGGTTTAAAACGAAACACCGTGTGCGCTTTTTGATTGCAGTGTTTCGGCTTCAGCTCCCGCCCACCCTGCCCGGCTGAGCCGGCTGCACTCTTGAGCTGTTGCCATAAGGGCAGTTGGGACTCTTTTTTTTTGCGCTGATTTTAAGACTCGGCTAGGCGAGAGGTCTTAGCGGATGTGAGGGGTATGGTCTCTGTCCGGTTGGGCGGACAGAGTCTATTACCGAGCCTCAGAAGAGACAACCAATGAGTCAGTGAGCGACTCAAGTCAAGTCCGGGAGACGACTTGACTCACGTAGTTCTTTATTTTGACCAAACTGCGGAGCGCATCAAAACGAGAACGGTGTGAGTTTATATATATATATATACATTAACGCGGCTTTGCAGCCTTTGCTGATCTGCATTGCAGGCCTTTGCGTTCCAGTGTTGTCCACGGCCAACGGTTTGATTTTCTGGCCATGCCAAAACAGTAAAATATGCAAAGGAAGCCATGGAAGCACAATGTTTCATCAGACCGTGAGGCCAGGAACGCAAGTTGCCCTTGTTGAGAGAGCTGATAACGTGATTGGACGGCTCTGTTGCCCCAGGACAGCAACCTTGCAGGCACACTATGGCTCTCTCCTGTTCAATCGCTGAATTGGAGGCCTAATCGCAAACCACCACGTGCCACGAACACGACAAAGCGTTGCTGGGCCACTGTCACACCCGAAATGATACTCCACGTCTCGAAGGCTCTATGCCCCTCCACATCCCGCCACATCCTGGTATCGCTGGTATGTCCAGATCTTGTCGCGAAGTCCTAATCCGACCCAGGGTCGCAGAGTTCTACGATGTGGCTTCGGATTCCATTCACCACTTTCAGGCCTCGCGCCCTGTCAACTTCCAGTGGCTTACCGTGATAATTCCAATTTCCAGGGCGGCGGGGTTTTCTTTCTCAACTGCAAGCAAGTTCGCAAGGCTTCACCACCAAAGAAGCCGCAATATGACAATCTGTCGCCAGGGAGGGTTTGGATGCAGGTGGTGCGTGTTCAGATAATTTGTGACACTGCGACAGAGATACAAAACGGCCGGGTTGGGGCGTCAAGGGCCCAAGGACCTCAAGGCTTAGGCTCCTGTCGGTATGCTTTGCAGTTGCCTTCAATATCCTCGAATCATAATTCAAATCACCATTGCTGGATTTGCACCAGCGTGGCAAGCAGACCCGCAAACAGTGAAGTTTGAGCATGCCTAGCTGTCTAGTCTAGCCGTGCAAAAAGCTTTCATGTGAATGTGGACTTCGAAGGATGCCGCTCCAACAGTACGTGCCGCAGTCGCAAATGGAAATCTTGAGGCAATTGAGGCAACTTGGTCACCATCACTTGCAGAACTGCTGTTCTTTGTGAAATTTTGTTTTTCGTTGAGATACCATCTTGCGCGCGATGGGAGCGGCTGGTTCGTTGCATCCAGCAGATGCAGGCATTCCTCCGTGCCAACAGTTTTGGCGATGAACCGGTGCTATTTCCAGGCTTGCTTGCCGAATGTTAATACATTCTTACATGTAGACATATAATGGCATATACATAGGATGCAATCGGCATGATCCTTGAAAGCTTGGTCCGCCACAGATTCCCCGGTGGATGATGCAGTCAAGTTGGCATTGTCGTCTGAAGCTTTTGGCAAGGCAAGGATTGATGCTTTTGTTGGGTTTGGAGGACTCAGGAGTGCCATGTGTTTAGGTCACAGCACGTGGTATCACAGTTTGGACTTGTCCATGCAATAGAAGGGCTTTCTGCAAGCATTGCTCCTGATGAAGTTTCACGTTTCTTGATTTTGTGGCTTGCTTCATTTCTAGGCCAAATGTGCAATCTTTATTGTCAGCACTTTCAGGGGAAAATCGTACTGATGAGGCAGAATTAATACATAATCATTCATAATCATACTACTTGGAAACTGAGCCTATTCAGCATGAAACTGATTTCACGTGTTTGCTTCTTGGAGGCAGCTTCCATCATTCTGGTTTTGTCTGACGTCGTGAAGCGGTCTGGCGAAGTTCGCAGTGAGCTGCTCCACAAGGCGGCTTGTAACGTGGCCTGCAAGCCATTGCCTGCACTCAATTATCACATCAAGCCCTTCAACATCTTCAACTATGTGTGGTTTCGACTGAGTTGGATCAAGCATGTTGGCCCCCGCGGGTTTGGCTTGAGCGGTCGGTTGATGCGAGGCTTCTACTTGAGAGGGCTCGCGGAGCCCTATGTATGGGGCAGCTACTTGGAGATGAGCGCTGGGGAGAAGAAGCAGGAGGGCCTCACAAAACGGTTCGACCGCGAGGAGGCAAATCCAAGGACCGTCACACATAGAGGAAAAGATGTTGCCGGACCTATCTGACTGTGCAGATGCATTATTGGGGGCTTGCTCTTCGCACTCTTGGTGGGCAAGGTCTTGGACCAGATTTTCCACAGCAGTTTACGCCGGGAAAGTTCAGGCTGCGTTTTGCGCGGCGGAGTCCAATTGGCTTCGTTCTCCTGTAGGTGGCGCAGGGATACTTGTTGTTGAGGCTTGCATGACCGGAAAGCAGTGGTGCGTGCAGCCGCTCGGCATCTTACAATGGAAAGGGCGTTGCAACGGCACTTCGGACAACATACCCTGACCACTTGTTCCAAGCAGCGAAGCCAGAGGAAGAGACCTACTCGGATGACAGTGCCTTTGAGATCTTGTCAGCACTGTCCTTCCACTCCTCTTTGCTGTGTACAGGGGTGCATCTACTTCATCAGCACCAGCCCCCTTCTCTTCTTCATCTTCCATGGTCTCCTCTTCCCACTCTTCTGTGTGTTGCTGCCCTCCCTGTTCCTCCACCTCTGCCTTCTCATCTTTTTGCCTTCTTGCTTGAAGATCCTGGGGCAAGGTCCCCCTCCTCATCTCTAGCTTCTTGCCTTGTCATCTCCTTCACCAACTCCTCCACGAACCGCTCTTCTTCCTGAGGCCTTGTAGTCTGTATGCAGCAGCCACCATGTCGTCAAAGAAGGCATCCAAAGGCAGGTCTGGAAACTGGCTTGCGTTGAGGCTCCTCTGCCATGTCCTCCTTGTGAGAAGATGTAGGGGCCCCTGTCCACAGGTCATGTCCCACAGAGGCATGTCCTCCCCCTTAGCCCTTAGCTTTCTGCCCATAGGACTTTCCTTTTTCTTTCCCTCCCTGCTCTCCTGCCTGCTGGTGTTTTTCCTCTTCTCCTGCTCCTGGCTGCCTGCTGCTGCTCTGCTGTACTGTGTCTCCTCCCACCATTTGTCATCCCAGCCTGACCAGCTGGACCTTTGGTCCCATCCATCATCCCACCCACCATGCTCCCAGCTTGCCATGGTTCCTGGCAGATACCT